CCGGTCAGCGCAAGCGTTGGCAGAGAGTGTCGGGATCGGACCGGACCGGACTGGTGGTGCGTGTGTGGGGCCGAGGCCTGGCGCTCCCCCCTCACAGGGCTGCCCAGCAACCTTCGGAGTATCCTCAGCTTGCTCTTGGGTTATTAATTGTCTATAATCACTAATAACTTCCCTTTTTCCCTCATTCCGTGCAGCAGGGAGCCTTACAGGTAGCCCATCATAGTATGTAGCTGGTTCTGACCCGCCTGCTGTGGGTAACCTGGTGTGATCCGTCGCAGATCTGACTGCCCGCAGTCGAGGCTTCATGGGTTTAAAATCAAAATGTGGGTCTATTCCTTAAGAGGAGCGCTGGCTTCTCAGTTTCAGATTTCTTACTGCAACCTAGACACTTGCCTGAAAATAGAAACTGGAAATCCCGTGTAGCCTTGTTTCTAAGCCTTGGCCTAGGAACCACTCCTGTTTAAAAGTAGTCTTGATGATGTTATGTGCTATCTATATATCTACCATTTGCATTATTTGGGGAAGTCTTGGGCTTAGATGTGGATAAATCTTACAATGCACAAAGAGACTTGTTATATCTGGAAATCTGGGGAGGTCTCGTCTGAGGAGAATTAATTAGCTTGAAGTTAATCAGGTTCTTTAATTTGTGTCTGTTAGATTTACAAATGAAAGCTTGCATGAAACAGCAACGACTAAGATCTGGTTTGAGAATAGACTTAAATGGGGATTTAATACAGTTCATTGTTTGGTTGGGTTTTTTTCATTAAAAAAAAAAACATATTCTGCAAGAAAAGGAACATAGGGAAACCCCTGCACTTGTGTGACAGTCATATTTGCCATGCATGGGCTTCTAGGTTTGAGGGCTTAAATACAAGCCCTGTTCTAAGAGAAAACTAGACTTTTTTCATAAAGAAAAATCATGTGTAAGGTCACGTGTAGGGGTTTGGAGGCAATGCCTATTTCCACTTGCTGTGTAATGTACCAGTGGGCTGAGCACCCTGTGCTGTAAAATTCAGTAGAAGTTACCTGAAGCATGAAAGTTAAATTCATTTTACAGCTGGTTTTATTATTACTGTATTTCGTTATTTGAGGATGAATGAAATGCTTGCTGTGGTACACAGGAAGGAGGAAGAAACACAGTTCTTCCCAGAAAAGGCCAAAGTCCCCGCTTTCTGTAGGGAGTGTAATCCCTTGGCTTCAGTGGCTGAACATAACTCGTATCAGTTAGCGAGGCAAGTGGTGTGGGATTGACCTCTGAACTTCCCCCAGCTCCCAGTGACAGTTTTGCTAGCAGATAAACTTAAATGACATGCGTTTAGTATCTCGGTTTGAACACCTGAGCCTGTCTACGAGTGTTACCAAACTGCCGTCAAGCGAAAAACTGAACGGAGGGGCAGCTCTCCCTTGTCAGCACCACCGGGGAGGCCTGGCCGGGCTGAAGCGCTGGCGGAGGTGGCCATGTTTCCTACCACCCGGAAGTGAGCGAGTGTTGCTCGAGCCCAGCAGCGATGGCAGCCGATGAGAGGGACTACAACCTGACGGAGGAGCAGAAGGCGATCAAAGCCAAGTACCCACCGCTCAGTAAGAAATACGAATGTGAGTGTTCTTAATGCTGTCCCGGCGCGGCGTACGTGTGACGGTGCAGTCGAGAGGGGGAGGGCGGGGAAGGAAAACAGCTTTTTAGGCACATGTGGGGTTTCTGAATAAGCCAGTATTTAGACTCTGGGATGCATCTGTAGTACAATTAATAGAGATGAGATCTCTACCGTTTTCTTTATCACAGATAAATGCCTTTCTTGTTACGGGTGCTAAAGAAATCATGATAGAAATAGTTAAGTCTCACCTTGAAAGCTTTCCCCTTTCAAGCTGTTTCTTAGGCAGGCAGTACATTTTTCTACCTCTCTCATATAGGAAGAGACATTCAACAGTGTGTTGGTCTTCTGTGTGGTGTTTTTCCTCCTACATGTACTACTTAGAGATCATTATCTCTTCCTTTCCCCACCCCTGGAATGTCTTCTAAGAACATGTCAGGCAAGTGGGTGGCAGCCCAAAGGCTAGCTTAAGGTGCTCACAGGAGACCGTTCAGTGTCTGACAGCTTTCTGGTTCAGCGGTGTCTGTCTGGAAGGACAGTGTTTATTACTCTGTTAGAATACATATTTTTAGGATGTGTTCAGATCTTGATGTGATAGCAGTGCAGAAATATGGTGACATACTACAATAGTCATGCTGTTTCCGTAACTGGAAGAGATTTTATTCTTCTTTTACATCCACTGGAATTTGTTTGCTTTAGAGACTGTTGTTGAGAATCCATTAATAGTGTGTGAACGATCTAAACAGCATCAGAACAATCTTTCAGTTAGAGTGATCACAGTGTGGTTTTTATTTTACATCTCAAGTTAGCGCTGTTTCTGCCAGCGTGGTATAATTGTGCACTTCTCTCCTTCCTCCGAATGAACATAAATGATGTTCATGTAAAGCCTGATACGTGCTTGGGATGTTAATCCTACCCTATTAGTGAAGATTCCCTTCTACTTTGTATTACATACTTTTTTTTTAAATTATTTCTTCTTTTTGCATAATGGGTGGGTTTTGGGTGTGGACAGCTGTATTTCTTCACTGAGCTGGAAATATTTGCAAATCTCATTCTCTGCGTGAATAATTTTCGGTCCTGCAGACTTCAGCAAAAACTCTTTACTCCTGGTTGAAGTTTCTTTTTATTGCAGTTAACTTGCAGAAGCCTGTTGCGTTACAGCAGCCTTACCTTGCATACAGCGCTGTACATGCCGGGCACCATCATAATTCCATTAAACACTGGGTTTTCTGCTTGACAGAAATAATCCAAGATTCCACCTGTGCCAGCTTTTTCTAATATACTGCAAAATAGATTATTACTGTTTCATGTTGAAAATTAATGCAGAAAGTTCTTGTTACAACAACAACAATATCTGATGTTATTTTAATATGTTTAGTGATGTCATGCCTTTTCTTTTTCCTCCCTCCTCAGATTTGGATCACACAGCAGATGTGCAGTAAGTATGGGCAGCTGGGACTCCTCAATATGACAAATCGATTGTTTCTTACGCTGCTTTAAGTCTGGAGTGACTGTTGAAGGCTGGTTGCAGATTTACACCTTATGGAACTATGAAATGTCACACACCAGGTTTTTTGATGGCAAATTTTTTCTGCTCTTGGGAGAGCATAGAATCACATTTGGTTTCTTTTCTAATGTCATAGTCCTATGATGCTTCTGATTAAGACTCTTGGAAATGTCTTCTGAAATCTCCTTTTCATCTCTTCCTTTTAAACCAAATTTCTTCTGAGTGATTCACTTTTATAGACATCAATTAGCCATAGTAGGAAAGAACTTTATTGTTGTCTAGTAAAATATTTATTTTCCATATTCTCCCAAGAAACTCTTCTCACAAACCACAAGAAGGAAAATCTCTGTAATCTGCCTAAATGCATAGAACAGAAAAGCAAGATTTTTGTTCATTCACTTCCTCTGCATTAATTCTCGTGTTCTAATTTCTCACCTGCGTATTACTTTGGGATTTTATTTTTGTGATTTTGGACCGGTAAATTCTCCCATGTCTTTTTAGGCTGCATGCCTGGGGAGACACCTTGGAAGAAGCATTTGAGCAGTGCGTTATGGCCATGTTCGGCTACATGACCGATACGGAGACCGTGGAACCTGTGGATACAGTAGAGGTGGAGGCAGAAGGTCAGGCTGCGGTGACTTTTTGCATTGGAACTGTGTGAACCCTGAGGGAGAAGGGTACTAAAATTCTGAATCTTTACATGTCGTGTTGTTGCAGTTAATTAAAATCTAATTAAGCATCACTAATCTGAATCTTCTGATAGTGCAGAAGCTGTACATCTGACATGCTCTTGAAAACGTTTGGGTGTTCTTGCTGAGACAATCAGCTGACTATCTTCTCTGCTTCAACCATGCAGGACATGACATGTTGTCTCTTCTCTTCCACTTCTTGGATGAGTGGCTCTATAAATTCAGTGCTAATGAGTTCTTTATACCCAGGGTAAGTGTTCTGGTTTGATCTTTTTCCATTTGGAGGTCAAGGCTATTCTCTGGTAATACCAGCTCTGAATGCAATGTTACTTTAGGGAAAAAAAGGGACAGAACTGATCACTTAAGCGCAACGTATGGAGAATTGAAAATTCTCCAGGGCAGAAAGGCTCGAGAAGCAAATTGTTAAGCTTTGTTATCACAAACACCAGTTACTAGCTGCTGTTATGCAGTAGGGGCAGCTTTGCTGCTGTCGTGTTCCGGGTGGCAGTGTATCTCTTTGAGGCTGCTCAGATTCTCTGGTTTTAAATTCCATCTAAACAGTGGAATATAGATCCCTTGTAAATGGGATCTACTGAGAATTTCTGCCTGAAGGTGGAAGATGTTACTGACATATATTTCTGCTCTCGCTTTCTCTGCAGGAGGTGAAAGTGCTTTACATTGACCGAATGCAATTCAAAATAAGATCAATTGGGTGAGTTTAAACGATCAGTTGGGTAATTAATATCTTTACTGAAAACGCACCTGTAACCACCTTGCAAGACCGTGATGGGCTGGAGTTCACTGATGCTTTCTAAAAAGTGGATTGTAGGCTTCTTTTTTTTCTTCTTTTGAGGCTTTAAATGAAAATCTCACTGTCCTATGTTCATCAATGAAGCTAGTCATAACATTTGGTAAATATTACCAAAATTCCAACCACCTCTCTTCTTTTTGCCTTCAAAGGTGGGGAGAAGAGTTCTCTTTACCCAAACACCCCCAGGTATGCAGTGGTTCATCTGGATATCATCTACATTTATAGATGGGGTAGGATGGGGAGGGGCAGTGTCTTTTAAATCAGGTCTCGTAAGTTCTGAAGAGATAAATATGTCTGAATGGTATCACAGGCACTAAACTTCACATCTCACTTTCTGCCTGTTTTTTGTGACTGTGTTCCTAAACCCGTTGTCCTGAGCATCTGGTGCTTCCTCAGCACTAGCAAAACTCAACAGCTGGCTTCCTTTTTGTGATGCCGATAACATGGTAAACCAATCTGTATTCAGAATGAGTGGATGGATTTGGTTTTCACACTATTACTAAGCTTCTTGCTTAGTCATTTTTTTTCTTTTTTTTTTTTCCCTAAAGAATTGCTAGAAGCAAATCCTTATCTCCCTGCCAGCTCTTTAGCTGTGTCAGCATTAGCATAGCAAATGTTGATGTTTGTCAGAGGTAAGCGGAGGAATTTGTAGTATTCAAGAGGCAATGAAATAAGGGAAGAGTTACTGGCTGTTTGGCCTGGCCAAGGCCTTGCCATTAGTATCCCGACTTTCTTATTCGTTGGGGCAAATACAGCTTTCTGGGGAGAAAAACCATTAAACTGGATAGCATTTGTAGAAGGGGATGAATACTGTGTATTATCATGAACTGCTACAAGGGATGTCGTTTAGAAAATGCATGGGTTTGTGTCTTTTTCTCTCTAGGGCACAGAGGTCAAAGCCATAACTTACTCGGCAATGCAGATCTGTGAAGACGAAAAGCCAGAAGTCTTTGTCATCATTGATATTTAAAGCAAGGAAAGTGGGGTTGAGTGGATACTTGTCATTGGCTGGAAAAGTCCTTTGAAAACTGTAATCCCCGTGGAAGTAGCTAAGGAATTGGCCAGTTAAAGTCATAAATTGAAGGGAGTAATTGCAGGGAATGGCAGCCTGTGTTTGACTGGAGGATGGCGAGACAGAGAAGTACCTGCATGCCAGGAAAAAAATAACTAGTTGGGGTTTGGGTGTTGTTGAGAAGAAGAGAGTTGTAGGGGTTGAAAGTCTCTCAGGAATGCTGGTAGTCAGCTTTTAAGGCTGATACATGTGTTAGGTGCTATATGAACCAAATAGAGAAATTAGTGGAGCTGCTAGCTAAAATACTACCTTGCTGTAGGATGGGGGGAGATAATGTTCATCTACATGATTTCATTTGCAGATTTAAGTGTTCAAATTCTGAGGTGACATCCCTCCTCCATATTATCTAAATGGTCTGCAGCGGGTCAGATTTAATGTAGAAAAATTTCTGACTGTTCAAAGGACACCTGAGAAAGTATACCTGTTAAAAAACCAAACCACCACACCTTCTAGACTACTTTTAAGAAAAAAAAAAAGTGCCAGCAGGTGGTGCTGAATTGCTGTAAATAAATTTCCACATGAAATCCTAAAGCATGTGACCGTGTACGTGGAACCCTAATAGCACCTATGATCACTCTCTAAAGTAAGCAGCTTTGCTGCTGCGGTAGAAAGGGATGCAGCAGCTTCTTTGCGGGTTCACTCCCAACTATGTCTTGCAAAAGATTGATTCTCTTCTTTTAAAAAGCAGACGATTAGGATCAGCTTCCCTGTCTTGAGAAAGGACAATACGGACAATCCTTTAGTGTAGGAGGATTATGGACTTTGGTTCACTGAATCAAAATTAATCAAAAATAATCAAAAGTGTGGTTTGTTTTTTTTTAAATCACAGGACAGGAAATGTGCGTTACCTGCCATAGCTATTTAAATATGAGAGGGGCACAGTGAGTGAGGGATGGTCAGTGCTGGCCTGACCTGCTTTTTTTTATTGTAAATGCTGCAAGTGCCTCACTTCTGGAGGTAGTGTCTGATCTTTATTTTGTTGTAAAGTGATCTTATATACATTAGTTTTTATTTCCATATTGTGAAGAAGGGGTTTCTATATTATAGTTGATGAAGGGGTTTACACAAGTACTGAGCTGACTACAACGTTTTTTGATGATGGCTTCTAACACTAATAACACAAAAGTTATTTTTTGAGAAAGCTTCAATGCCAAAATAAAACGTGGACTGAAAGAATTAATGGATTTGTGTGGGAATAATTTTGGCCAGTGGATTTTTAACACTGATGAATTACATTTGTGCATTGTTCTCTGCTAAGGTGAGCAGACTTTTTTATGAACAAGCCTGAGGCCCGCCTGTTTGATGGTACAGAAACGGGTGTGATTTCACACACCGGGTTTTCTTCCCTCCTCAGGAGCAGTCCCGGGACTCCAGCACATGCCAGCCACGGTGACAAGCCGGACACAGCAGCGCTGTGGAGGAAGAGCAAGGCCTGGGCTCGCCCGGTGCCGCTGCTGGAAACGAGCGGCCTCAGGCTTCCCCCGGCCCGGCACAGCGGGAGCTGCGCGCCATGGCGGG